AGGGGGGAGGGGGGTGGAGGGGTGGAGGGGGGGAGGGGTGGGATTATGCCTCTTTGCATTGAGGCATGCCCTTTTCAAAGAATGTCAAAAGCGATATCGAAAAATGGACAATTCACATCAGAAAAAGTAGATCTGATTTGATACAGGAAAACAGTTATCTAGTTTTTCGTTTTGTTTTCTACTTTTCTCCTAATGTACTACCCTTAATTGGTTAATACTGACATGTCTTGTCGAGCAGCAACTATTACTGCATTTACGAAAGTTGACATATATTTGATGATTCTGAGAGATTAGACGACTTTATGTCTGGTCACAATTAATCATGAAAAAAAATTGCTAACAGCTGCATGTATGAAAATACACGCGTCTCATGGTAAGAGAAGAAACTGTGCGTTGGGGAGGCGAAAACATTGTGGCTCATATATTACTATTTTTTTCATTTTCACATGTTCTTATATTCGAAGGTTGTTTTTGCTTTGTCTAAGCAAAGTCGTCTAAATGTCCATTTGAATAGATTTACCCTATTCAATCTGTGTTTCAACCACTTCTGAGGTACAATGTCCATAGGGTAGGGAACATCGAGGTAAATTAACTTGGAGCTAATTTTGCTTTCTACGTTTGAATATTTTTTTTTCAAATGGCGGGCTTTATGATATTTATTATTAGTCCTTAAACTTTGACTTCAGCTTCCCCCAAGGGGGGGGGGTACATATATAGCAGTTCATGAGCTGCCTTCTTGCTTCCCAGTATCTCTGGGTTTCCATCGTTGTCTTTAGAGCCGGACACCGAATCAGGTGGGTCTTCTCCATTTCCTCCTATAGGCTACATAGTGGGCATGTTAGCTGAGTGCATACTCCTAATCTGTGAAGATGCTTTGCCAGGCAATCGTGTTCGGTACGTGGTCTAAACTCAGCAATGGCTTCGATTCTTGGCCAGTCGGCTACGTCGGAGAGTGTCGCTGTCCACTGTTTCTCCTTTGTTGGAAATTTAAGTTCGTAGCACCTTGAGGTCTTGAATTCTCTCCTGAATAAGGTCTTCTTTGTGTGAAAAGACAACGGCCGGTCTATGCCTTGCAAAATTGTTGTCCCCTTCTCAGTAAGTGCGTCAGTACGCTCATTGCCTTTAATGCCACAGTGACCAGGAATCCATTGTAGGACCACTCTTTTGTTTTTCTCTCAGTAGCTGATAGAGTTTTCAACATTCGTATAACTCAGCTGTTTTGGGTGCTCTTTGTTTTCAATTGAGTTTATTGCTGACTGTGAGTCTGAAAGTATCACTGCATTGGTGAATTTCGTATCCAGGCAACATAATTGGCTTAATACTATCCTAACGTTTGAATATAATTTTGCTCCGTAACCTCCCAAACAACCCTGAGGTTTTTAAAGAGAGACTCTACATTTTCTGGCCCACTTACTTCAGTTCAATCGGGGTGACTACTGCATGGTGGGTGAGCTTTATGTTTTCATTACGATTTACCAACCAGTGCTCAAGATATAATCGAACCAAAAGGCAAAAAATCCCAATAGGAAGTCTTCATTTCCATTGGAATAAAGTTTGCAAGCTGTCTAAATTTACTGCACTCTAGAGCCTTCTTTTGTGATTTTATATTTCAGCGACAAATTGCTAATGATAGTCTGTAACCTTGCAGGGAAATCGACGCGTTCATTTATGACGCAACGATATCGGAATACTGGGCTTCACGAGATGATGGCTGTAAGCTGAAAACAGTGGGCAATCTGTATGCGATGACAGGATATGGAATTGGTTTTCCCAAGGGCAGTCAATGGCTTCCAAAAGTCAATTCACGTATCCTAAACTATCAGAAAAATGGTGAGTTCTTAATGCACCTCATTGGGCGTCAAGATACTCAATTTCGCATCTAAAATTAAACTTGGAGATGAGATGGTTGGTCTACAATACCTTTTTTATTTGTAAAGGAAAAAAAGCAATTTGAAGGATTTCAATCTGCAAAACATGACTTTTTTGTCTTTAAAAATTAATTACTTAATGTTTTGAGGTCGCTGTATTTTACTTCAACTTTCAAAACAAATGGATAAAAATTTATGTGAAGTTCAGTTTTACAATCTGCTGTTTTCCTTCATTTCGTTCAGTTCAGGTTCACATGAAATCCTCAAAAGGGTTATGTATCCTCACATTTCAAGTGCAAGATCTTCAATAGCCACGTCACTATGATCTATAAAGTGATAGGACAGAAGTTTAATTCTGACAGGTAAAAATCGAAAAAATGGTAGTGGCTTTCATAAATTACTCATAATTTAATTGTGTTTAACCATTTGAAGTGTGTATCAACAATAACTACTGGCGAATAAGATGCATGGCTCTGAAAGCTAATTGTTTGTTTACTTGAATTTCAACAAGTACGCTCGTTGAAATTTGAACTTTGCTCACACCCTACTGATGATGAGGTGATTATTATGAGTTCTATTTATTATCTAAAATAATACTCGAAATCTATTTGACATACAACTTTGTGCATTGAGTGACTTGAAATTTCATTCACTCATGTTTTAGATCTACCAGCGGGTTGGTATAACGTTTGATCGCAACATGAAACAAACGTGCAGCCGAAATATCTGAATTTAAAAAAAAACGTAGATTCTTTGTCGGTCTTTCCTCCCTTGTTAAAAGAAGCATAATCTATGCCAGTTTCCTTACAAACTGTAAGAAAATGCACTTTACTGAACGAATTCTTAAAATTAAATTTCGATTTAATTTAACGTCAGCATAGATATATTTTGAATTTTCTGCTATTGAGTGTAGACACTTTTTAGATATTTTTAAGAATGCGTATTGCTTGGTTCAATTCCGTTTTTAATAGCCTTTTACAAAATTATATGATTTTTAAATTGAGTTTTTTTTTAAAAAAGAATATGTGTCTCATCTCTCCTTTTCTATTTCTTTCTAAAAAGAAACGATACATTTATTGAAGTAGCAACAGGCTTGACAACTTTATGCCTAAGTGCTTATGAATAAGTGGTAGTTTTAAAATGGGCAAATAAATTTATGAGCATGTTTTTCGACCGCTAATTCGGGTTTATTATGATCAAAAATTGTACAAATTAAAGTAAAAATTTGAACGGGTTCATTAATCGTTAGTGGCAAAGTGATTAACGTGTTCGTCAATAGATTCAATGCTCATCAGTACATGCTATTAAGTGAATAAACGCAATAGTCTAGTCTGGTCAATAGAAGTGTCGGCAAAAAATAGTCCTTTTTCACTGAGAAACCGCTGTGACGCTTTTCCTTCACCTAAACGAAGGATCATAACAAAACTAATAATCCTGCGTATACCATAATGCAAGTTCCCCACACTAGTAATAATATTATTGTCTTACAAGGCAAATGCAGATCTCAATTGGACATTCATCTATCGGATGTGGAGAAGGGAATTAATATCATCGGTAACTATTTAATCAAAGCTATCGTTAAAATTTAGTCATCAAAATATGATTTTGAACCTAAATGTGGTCTTGTATGGAAGGTCCACTCCTACTTCAGGTTACTTAATTCCATTGAATTCTTGTTTAATGTTATCAAAGTGATCACATATTCAAGATTCCTAGCGAATTTATGGTCCATCTTGAAAACAGTTCTTTTTATCATTGAATGTTAGGCATATTTGCTCTTTTGTACGGTACTCGAATGCTCGAGATCTAAGAATCGTTTTCATCCATTACATCTTAGTACATTGATCTTTACGATATATTTGTGTATTGCCTAAAGTTTCACCTCTAAAAGTATTTTATTTGAGAAGAGGAAATAGACTGACGTTATTTCTTTGTATCTAACAAGAAATTAGAATGTTATGGCATTAAAAGAGTAATTTTTTGACAAATTCAGGCAAATTTCATAGATGGAAACAATTCTGGTTGAGTGGCGTTTGCAAGAAAATGACCACTCTAGGTAATACGAACAAGACCCTGGGCGTGAAAAATTTCATCAGTGCCTTCATTCTGCTCCTTTGTGGAATGCTTCTGTGTGGAATCATCTTCCTTCTTGAGCATGCCTTCTATCGTTACATTTGGCGGCGTATGCGCAATTCGGATCAGTATGGATGCTGTGCGTTGGCTGTAGTAGTAAGTGGTCGTATTTTAAGAAATAAAATGGCACATATTTAAGTATTATTAAAGTTCAATCTTAGTTTTGAAATTTTTCGTTTTGAATTGTCTGGGTTTTAGGGATAAAGTTTGTTAAAAAAGTAGTTAGTTAAGATGGCACTTCTGTATCTTTGTGTTAATTGCTCTGTAGTGAATTGCTACACTAGTAAAGCCTGACTGACTCAGAAATCTCTGTGGCAGATTCTCCTACGTCTAGCTAGACTCCCAGAACCAGCTAAGCTATACCCCAGCTATAAAGGAAACAGACGTGTAGCACGGAGCACGTTTATTCAGGACGTATATTGTGGATCAAGTGTGTACACGCAGGGAGCTTCTCATGATCAGGATGGGGGATTAGGTTAAACAGAGGTTGATGATTGGTCACTGTTTGTACGGTCACTGCACACAGAGTTGTACGGCCGCACCTTCCAATCCTGGAGAGCAGATATGCAGGCATACGATGACGCACAGAGCGATAACGTGTCCCACAGTTCATCGTGTTCATTATCAACGATTCTAACGCAGTCCTCAAAATTCGATAATCGATTTTTTGCCAATTTTTTTACGATTGACTTAAATAAACCACTAGCTGTTTCATTCTGTGAGATAGTGAATTAGAGGCTTTTGGTAGGATTATTATGAAATTTAAAATGAACTATCTAACACCTGGTGTGGAAGATAATGCAGACACCTATAAAAATTTGAAAATGTAGAGCAGACAAAGTCAACAGATTGGTATAATTCAAGGTGCTTTATGCGTGTTGTGAATAGAATTGG